GTCGACCAAACAAATTCATTGAAATTAAACCAATTACACCATCCATCTTACAACATAATCATTTGATTGCTCTCTAGATTGCTTTGCTAAATTATCAACATAAGTGTTGACATCCCTAGAGACTTGCAAGAAATGGAAATTACATACTCTAGCTATCTTAGCAGTGTCCTGCAATTGAACCATCAAAGGATGATAGGCTTGTTTGGTCTTGCTCAAATTCTCTTTTGAATTCTGTAAAAGGGAGTATATGTCTTGACAGTCTCCACAGATTGTTATGTTCCGATAGCCAAGGCGATGTAACTCCATAACTGCATTCCGCAATGCTTCCACTTCTGAATGGATTGGTGATTGTGTTGGAGGTAAGGATCTTGATCCAGTAAGAACAATTTGGAGATTCCGGTTATACAAAGCCCATCCCATTCCCATCCTTTGACTTCTAGAAAACCATGATGCATCAACCAAACAAAATGTTGTGCTAACTTTGTCTAAAACTTCCATCATATTCTTTGGAACAACTTGAGTTGATACACTAACCAAGTCATTGAGGCAGTGTTGTTCATCTTGTTGTAACACTAGTGCCTCCTTCCACTTGGTATAGTCCTGCATAGCCTTTGAAATAACCAAAAGAATTGGCCATCGCTTATTATTAAAAATAACTTGATTCCTATTCTTCCAAATCCTCCAACCCAAAAAGTGGAAAAACAAGATACGATCCTCTTCTTCCTTGTTCAGAGAAACCAAATGCAAATAATTATCCATCAAATCATTTGAGATAAAAAAAACCAGAATCCAAACCATCTAGAAATCCGAGTTCCCATATTTCTTTACTTACTCTACACTGAAATAGCATATGGTTAATACTTTCATCCCTCTCCCCACATACAAAACACAAACTATCCTCTAAAACCCCTTTTTGCTGCAATTTACATGCTACTGGTAGAATCTCATGAAAGACCCTCCACCAAAAATGATGTATTTTAGGAGGTAATTTATATTTCCACAAGTTTTTAAACAAAGGTATAGACAAAGAAGAGGATTGACCTTGTCTTTCTCTTAGTAAGTTGTATCCTGACTTGACTGTGTATCCTCCATGAGCTGTGTATTCTATCTGCTTCTCCTGTACATGACGGCCAAACTTGATTGATCAAAGGTATATCCTGAGGATGTATGAGAGAATTGATCTTAACAGGATCCCAAATTGTTGTACCATCATAAAAAAGATCATTCACCTTTTGTTCTGGATCCATGCAATTTCCAGAGGGAGTTGGAGCTATAGAAGGTTTTGTGGGTAACCATT